CAACCAGTGCTACCATGGGGAGTTCAAGGTCAGTCTGAACTTAGCGAGATCTTGTCTCCAAAATAAGGGAAAAAAATTTCCCACAGGCAGCAAAACGTGTGTCTGCATATGTCTTCTTGTCTTGCAGTAATAAACCCATGTGACATTTACAAAAATGTTCACTCATAAAAAGGACTGGCCAATGATGATGCTGCAACAATGAAAAACACATAATGCTGAAAATGGAATTCGAAAGTACCTAAGGTGCTGACTGGGAATGCTGGCACTGCTAGCAATGGGGAGGGACTCTACTTATGCAGCCAGGAACTCTGCAACTTAAATCAATTTAGTGAGATAAATAAAAAAGCGAACATACTGACATAAACGAGGAAATTGTGACTAATGAAGATGTGCCAGAGGAAATGACACTGACAAAAGTCCCCCTAAAGTAATTTTCTGAGATATTTTGTGATACAGAAGGCACAAAGAAGAGAATGTGGGAAGCTAACCCAGACATAGGAAAGTGTACAGCAGCTCATCACTACACAACCAAGACAGATGCTCCTGCTCTCATATGACAAGAACGCAAGCACAATTCAAACTATTCTCAAAGACATCTATTTTTCAAAGAAATCTCCCTCTCCCCTTCTCCCCCTCTCCCCAACCCACTTCTTTTTGCCCTGGAGACTGACATCCTGGGACCAGGCAACTGCTTCCACCACTAAGCTACACTCCCACTCTTCGCTTTTTTTCTTTTTAAAAAATAAACCCCCAAGTAAAATACAGGCACATTTATCGGAATCTTGGCATATAAAGTGACATCTCTCAAACTGCCATCTTGAATCTCTACATCTTAGAATATGAGGCTTTTAAAAAAAATTCAGCTCTATGTTGCGTCAGTATGGGTGATCTCAGCATTCAGGAGGCCGAGTCAAGACCAGAGGGCAAGGCTCTGTGGGATGTATATATAATATCACGATTTCTTCAAGTACTAACAAAGGGTCTTTTTTCTTCCTCAATAAACTCAGGAGCTAAATCCAGTTTCTCATTTAGCAAAACATTTAGGTATTATTTTGGAAAATAGAGAGCAAAGTCTGAAGAGAATGTGATATGGAGCAAGATTACACTTTGATGCAAAGGCCAGGCTGGATCACTCAGTGTGATCCCGTCTCAAAAACCAAAATAAAAAAGAAACAACAAAATTATGTAGCTTTATGGACCTGCCCAAGACAAAAATCAGTCTCTAGGATGGAGGTGAAGAACCTCAATTTTTAAATTCCCTCTCTGAGCAATTCTCATGCACATTTTAAAATGCAAGAAAAGACAATCCTCACTACATAAAAATCCTAGTTACTGACCTCTCCCACAAACTGGCAAAGAATACTTCAAATAATTTAAAACTCAGAAGGTACTAGATAACATTATTAATAATAGGACTCCACCAACCAAGTCCTTCAGAGTATGCCCTGAAGACAACACTGTCAAAGGAAAATTTCTGAAAGCTTCAGATTAGAAAGGCAGGTGCTGAGAGTAAAACTTCACAGTGAAAAGAAATTTTATGATATAAACATCTTTGCTATATCTACCTAGGGAGATGATTTTACACATCATACATAAAATCAAGAAATAATCTAATTCAACAGTCTATCTTCTAGTCATTACTAATAGTGCATGCTAATCTCATCTGCTTTAATTTTTTTTAACCTGTCAGCTAAAATAGACTACATTAGATAAGCATAGAAGTAGTGATTTGTTCAGTCAGCAGAATTGGGTCTTAACCTCATATTCCACTATACCCATGTCATTCTTTGTTTTAGCCATGAAGAAAGGAGTAATTTTTCATATCACTACATTTTAGACTTTTATCAGTAGACCACAAGCTGGCACTAATCCTGGCACAAAGTTCAAGGGAAATTTTAAAATAAAAGTAGCTATTAGTCTTTTTTTGACTATTAAAAGCACTGATTATTTTTTAATAGCTGCAATCTATCAAAAAAGTAACCTATAATTTTTTTTTTTAACTTTTTATCGGTACCAGGGATTGAACTCACGACCGCCTGCTTGCAAGGCAGGTGCTTATACCGCTGAGCTAAATCCCCAGCCCCTCCTACTATGTTTCATACAACTCAAAAATCCCTCATTTTGGCTGGATGTGGTGGTGTATGCCACCATGTAGTAGTCTCAACACTTTGGAGGCTGAGGCAGGAGGATGACTGTAAATTCAAGGCCAGCCTTGGCTACATATTGAGCTCAAGGCCAGGCTGAACAAGGTCTTATCTTGAAAACTAGAACAGGAAAAAGTTTTCATTTTTACCAGAATCTAATTTTTGTCCAGACGATACTGGGCATTCAGGATTGAAGCATGCCTTTTTTTTTTACAAGTGAAATAAATAAAATCTTAAAGACATTTCTGTTTATTTCAAGGCTGAAGCCAAAACCAAGAGACATCTCATGTTCAATATAAAATTTACACATCTATACTATCTTACTACAAGCCTAAAAAATTTTCTCAGTAGATACATTGTACTCACTAGAATAAAGATTTACCAGCACACAAATTCACCCAATTTCCCTCCGCCTACAACATCATCATCCATGGTTCTTTAGTTATAGAATAAAATCTATCAGATCAGAGTCTAAAATGTTTTACTCATCCAGAAAAGCATTAAACACAATTTAGTTGCAGAAATATTCCAAGAAATGCCTGACTGGCTCTCAAGCACATCTTTAAAAAATTACTGTGTGCACATACTGCTGTTCCAAGAAGGAACTGCAGAAGCATTTTCTCTGCTCACATAAGAGGCAAATCACAATTAGCTTCAAAAGCTGAGTAGTTAACATGGATTAGGTGAAAAATAGTCTTTGTAGAACAAATACCTTATTGCTTTATGCCAAAAATTTTCCCTAGATAGAAATTTGTCTTAGAAGCCAGTTACACATATCCTTACTCTGGTAGTTGTTTGTCCACTGGCACTAGGATGGATTTTATTTTTGCCACTATCTCAAAATAGGGCCTTTACCAGGGCCACTTTGGTCTTGATTTCAGCTGACAGCTTTAGTTTTTATGTAATCTAAATTAGATTAGGAACTGAATTTGAGGGGGCAAACTATCCCATGATAGTGTTTTTATATAGTATTGCTTATGGAATTCAAAAATCCTGTTATTAAAAATTATAGTCAAAAGGAATTTAAAAATAAATTTATTTCTTGCTTACATTCTTCTTACATACCTAGCATTCTTGCTCTTAAAGGGTGAACAGTAAAGCCAAATTATGAATGAAGTTACTTCATAAAACTGTTACACAAATCCCAGTATTTTATGGTTTTTCTTTCCTTTTTTTTTTTTTTTTTTTTGAGACAGGGTCTCACTATGCATTTGGGATGACCTTGAACTCACTATGTAGCCCAGGCTGCCCTTAAACTCACATCGATCCTCCTGCCTCAAGCCTCTTAAGTGCTGAGATTACAGGTGTGCACTACCAGGTCCAGTCAGCGCTGTGGTTATCTTAACACTGTACAATTAACCCAAGAGATCAGTGAATATTCCTGTCTCATGATAAGAAATTAGAAAAGTGCAGAGAAATTTGTATTCAAAGAGTCTGAACCTAAAAGTGTTAGAATAAAGCCACTTGGGACTGAGGTCAGAACACAGATAAAGAGACAAAGAAATACTGTCATACTTTCCATTCCTACTCCAGCAAAGGGGGTAGACCTAGAGACAAAGATAAACAATGCAGGATGTTCTGTGGATAAGTACAAATATTTTTTAAAAAGCTACAACGAGTTCTAATAGGTACTGTATATAACATATATCTATGAACTCTTAGGAATTGTCAGTTCAATTATTTAAAAGTTGAAGAAAAATAATCTCTTGACAAATACAGAGCTTCCTCCAAAGTTCTGAACAATCACATATGAGTATTTCAAAGTAGTGGAATATTTTTCTGTAAGAATGTACCTTAAAAATACTAGAAAATCAAAGTGGAAAACTCATTCAACTACCATTTTGCCAAGAACTTCAAATTTGTATTTTAACATTCCTGGTAACTGACCTGGCTAGTTTCAAAACTGGACTAAGTTGAGAAAGCCATTTAAAGGATAAATGGCTTATGAAATTACAGGTTACCACACAAGAAAACTGAGAGTCAGCTGAAGCTCTCACTTCATCTCAATTCCTACCGTTCTACTTACAGAAATAAATTCTCCTGTGTTAATTATTTGATATACAAAGGCCCTGTTCAACAATATTACATTTGGTAAAAACTATACCAGTTGCATAACTCTAACATTGCCCTGTTAATAAACAAGACTAACAAAATCGTTCTCTCTCCAGTGCATTTCTGTATACTGACTTTCAAACATTACGATCACGAAAATTTTATAACTTATGACTTGGGGCAACCGGCTTTGCCTCTTCTGGATGCGAAAGACTTTTTAACGTAAAAACCTAGTCCATATTACAAAAGTCGAATGAGGAAAACTGAGACTTTTTGATGGAGACAATAACTCAAGTCATTAAGAAAATAACGCATACAAAACTCAAATGAGCTAAGATCACACAACCCAAAACGATTTACACAATCACCTGTCTTGGAGAAGTTATCCATACAATAAAAATGTAAGTCACTTCTGAAAAGTGCTATCTTTACGAAATCAGGTATCTCTTTTCAAGCAGGCGCCCTTTCCGAACCCGCTGTCTTGTTTCTGAAAATCAATGCTCCCCTAAGAGCCACCTGCGGCCGCCAGCGCCCGCCGCTCCCCTGCTCTGATTTCCGAAGGGTCCCACGCCGATGACAAGAACTGCCGCGTGACAAAGTCATTCACAGGAACGACTTTCAGGTTCATTATCGAAGCATTTTGAAAAAGACCGCTGAGCCTGGTTCCCGGGCATCCCGGCGCCGCGCTCCAGCCAAGCCCTGCTGCGCACGCAGGAGCCAGGGCGTCCGGCCCGGGAGGACCCCCAAGGCCCGACACCCGCGGCTCTGGGGCCCGGGTCCGGCGCGCCGCCCCTGCCCGCTCACCTTTTCGCACAGAGTCCGCACTTGGTTCTCATTCAGCTGTTTACACTCGTTTAGCTGCTCGACCCACTGGTCCAGCTCCTTGGTGAACGTCTTGTCGTCCATGGCGGCGCGCTCCCCTCCCCCTCCCGCCCCGCCCCCGCCCCGCCCCCGCCGAGGACCGAGCCCCGCGCCGCCGCCGCCTCAGCCAGCGGCCTTCGGAGACCCCGGCCTGGTCCTGCCCGGTCCCGCCCGGCCCCGCCGGCCGCGCGCCCCAGGAGTCGCTGAGGAGTGCGGGGAGGTGGTGGGGAGCGCGGCTTGGGGCTTGGGCGCAGCTCCCGCCGGAGAACAGCTGCCGGCCGCCGCCGCCTCTCACCAGCCGACCTCTCTCGCCGCTTCCCCCTCGCTCCCCCGCACCCCCCTCCGGCTTTCCGTCATCGCCCGGGCATTTCCGCCGGGGAGAGGCGAGCGGGCGGCGCCGCTGCGGCGCGCCAGGCTGGCAGAGAAGCAGCGCCCTCACCTGGCTCGGCGGGGAAACGGCCCCGGGCGCGGAGGCGCGCTTCTCTTTCAGCTTGCTTGCTTGCTTGCTTGCTTGCTTGCTTGCTTGCTTGCTTGCTTGCTTGCTTGCTTTCTTTCTTTCTTTCTTTCTTTCTTTCTTTCTTTCTTTCTTTCTTTCTTTCTTTCTTTCTTTCTTTCTTCCTTCCTTCCTTCCTTCCTTCCTTTCTTTTTTCTTTCTTTCTTTCCCTCCCTCCCTCCCTCCCTCGCTCCCTCCCCCTCCCCTCCCCTCCCCTCCTCTCCCCACTGGGGGCCCAGGCCAAACTCTGCTCACTCTTCTTTCCATCCTGTTCACGGGAAACTTTATCCTCCCTGCATGCAGCTTCTTTGCTGATTTTTCAGAGTCCTAGGCAAGGAACTAAGAAGCTTGAGCTTTTCCTGGGAAATATTTCACTTCCTCTTAGCAAGCATTCAATATTTATTGAATAATTATTTTCTAGTTCTTACTCTAGCTGTGAGGCCCTAAATCTTGTTTTCCCTTTCAGCATCAGAAAGATGCAGTGATTATTCTTGTGAGAATCTGTGTCTATTCCAGCTCCAGCGGTAACTGCTCATTGCAGTGTTTGAGTTGTGGTTTCTTCATTCAATATTTATTGAAGAGCACCTAGCTGCAGATAGACCATATGCTGAACGACTGTACTTCCTGTATTCGAGATACATACTGACACTGAAAGCAAGGGGTTCCTGTGTTGACTCTACTACTTCCCACTGTGTTTATGGGCAATCATCAAACCTCCGTAGGCCTCAGATTCTTTCTCAGTTAAAATCAACCAGGCTTATCTTAGAGAATTAAATTTAAAAAGTGCCTGTTCATTAGTACAGTAGAGTAGCAAAATGTTAAATTTTCTTAGCCCTTCGAGGAAACAGTTACACAAAGGTTTAGAAAGGTGACATATGAGCTGAATTCAGAAAACTTCTCCCCAGGCAAAGCCTCATGAAGTTGCCTGGAGAAGGAGAAAGATGTTTTAAGGAATTTGTGTGCCTTCGCATCTATCTGTGCCAGAAGAGAAATGTTTGAAAGACCAGTATTTGGAAAGCTGAAACACCCCTAGCAACCAAAATAGGTCATATGGTGGAGAATTAGGATGGAAAAGACCTGCTACTGCAGTAGCTTGTCAACAACAAATCAATGGAGCAAAACATGACAAAGTGCTTAAACAATGCCAAAGAGGAGGCTGCCTGTCTGATTGTAATAGCCACTTTATTTTACTCTCCAAGGAGGCTGAACAACAAAGGCGTGAATACCAGATATGGGTTGCATATTGTTATAGTTTGTATCTATATGTGCCTCCAAAGCTTTATATGCTTATAGGTGGAGCTTTTCAGAGGTGACTGAATGTAAGGTGTAGTAATATGGGTTAAGGGTATTTGATAACTAAATTGGTTTAGCATAGATCTGGGTGTGGACAATGGAAGCTCCACCCTGAGTGTGAATGGCACCACTCAATAGGTTTATAGCCTGGATGGCATAAAAGAGAAAGGAAGGCTTGCTTGCTGCCTCTTGTCTGCTCCACCATGGACTATTTCTCTTCCTCAATGCCTGTTTGCCATGACAGCCTATCTTGGAGCCAGCTACCTATGTACTGAAACATCTACAAACTGTGGGCCAAAATAAACCTTTCCTCTGCAAACACCCAGAGACTGAAACTATGGGAAAGCCCAGATTGAATGTTATTTAATGTACAGGCAGGCTGAAATTGGAGTGATATCAGGGAATATATCTGGATAGGAGGCTAAATGAGGGTTTGAGCTTAGGGGTCATAGTCCCAAAGAATATGGATGGAACATTTGAGGTCAAAGCTGCAAGGATGATCAGCACAGGTGTGCACATAAAGCTCAGTTTTCTAGTGTCAAGGAGACTATGGGTCCAGGTCTAAATTCTTATGGCCAATAGTTCTGTTTGCTGAGAGCAACATGGATTCCTGATGTATGTAGAGGGTACCATGTTTACTGGGAAGGTCTTTCTCAGGTTAGGCTATACAATCACATCTTTTTGTTATTATATACAGAGAGGGGCAGGAAAGTGGGCAGAATTTCTTATGGCTAGGTCAGGTATGACAAATGGAGTGATGTGGGCAGCCTAATCAGGAAAAATATTGGGGAACAAGGCTGTACTGAAGAGTGGTCAGAGTTAGCATTTACCTGTTGGTAATTGCTTGTACACAATCCTGTAAAAACTTTGAGAAAGATCTGAGGCGGCATAGCCCAAAAAGAAGGAGGAAGATAGTCCAGGTGAGAGGTCCAGCTTGCAGATGAAGCCATGAGGTGAGGCCCAGCCCCAAACTGTAGTCCAAGAGTCCAACAGGTCTCATTTCTGAAGATTTTTCTTTCAGTCTTTTGTCTGAGTCCCATACAATGGTATAAAAGCAACATTATTCTCCAAGGAGGACATATAACCCGCCTTTCTCCTCAAAGAGGAGCTCTAAACCTCTAAGATTTAGAAGGGTCACTGCTGTTAGGGAGTCTCTGTGATTGTGTAAGGTGAAAATGGAGTCAGTTGTTTGTCTGAGGCTGTCTGAAAGGTCTCACAGAGGGAGTGACAGGAGGACAGAGGGTTAGTTAGACCTGCTATACCTCTCCCTGTAGCAGTGGTGATACCCTTACCAATAAGCAGGGGTATTAGATGTTTGGCTCTGCATCATCAGATTTGGATTTTAGTAGCGACAGACAAGCTCTGATTTCCTGGGCAGTGTCCATTTTGGGGGTGAGGTATGTCAGTGTGCAGGTGCCAGTACAGTGACTGGGGGGTAAGCAGTTGGTGGAGGCCGCACAGAGGAAGAAAACCCCTTGACTGGGATTGGTTGTTAATGTTAAAGAGGCTTGTGAGTCTTTTACTTTCTCTCTCAGATGTCCGAGTTGCCTGCTAGGGCAACATCTGTCAGGGGCTGGAGGGGTCCCTGGCATGGAATCTGACTGGCATCTGTCATTCTTTTTTCTCACTGTAAAAAGAATCTTTTAGGAGCCATTGTGAGGAATGGTCAAAGCTGGGCAAAAGGAGACAGACTGAGTGAAGGATTGATGACAAGGAGACCACAGGAGAAGCTGTACGCATGGGATATGATGTCTGTTGCAGAACTCTTGTTTATTGAGCAGTGATGTAGTCACAACTTTGGAAGGATTGGAAAAGCAGACAAGTGGAGTGAACATGGCATCCTGAGTAACCTGGTAGCTGGCATGTTCATATCAGGCCAGTAATACCACCATACATTTATATGGATGGGGGAGTAGATGTCCTAGTGATATACTGGAGGACAACTTGTGCTGAATATGAGCAGGAGCTTGAAGGTCAGAGTAGTATCAGTGGTTTAGCATGGTTGGGTATAGTTGAATCTCATACACAGAAGTGGTGAAACAGGAATGAAGGAATGGAACTGCACATCCTGCCTGGAGGCTTTTTTTTTGTCTTGCTAGTTATAGGGAAAGTGGCTATGGATGTTTGGTTGAGGAGTTGAAATGAGTCCTCTGTTTCATACTGAGGGTGGTACATGAGGTTGGTAGAAACTCAGACCCTGGAAAGGACTGGAATGGCCACATATGTTACTATGGACACAGAAACACAGTCAGAAATCTTTTGCTAAATTTGGATTGAAGTGATTCAGCAAAGAATGAGCTAATTGCAAAATTTTATAAAGATAATTAGGAACTGGCAGAAGAAGCTGTACGGGGAGTGACCTGAGGTGTGGTGAAAGGAAGAAGGGTGCTAACTGAGCCAAGGCTAACAAGGGGAAAGGGGCCTAGCCAGGGTTAAGGTAGACACAGGTACAAAAAATGGCTCCATACCTGAGGTTAAAAGTCAACTGAATTGGAGTCCAGTAGAATTGAGAGTAAAATCGACAGAAAAGTGTGCAGTAGAAACAGAGGGTGTTTTATGGTCCTCTCTATCAATCATCAAACAGGAGGAGGGGGAGAAAATAACGACAACAATAATGTGACCCCATCTGGGGAGAAATTTTATGGAGTGCCCTGGGAAAGATCTTCTATCCAGGTATAGAAAGACGTGGGAGTAGAAGTCAGGGTGAAACAAGGTTAGGTCAGTGTAAACTGAATAAAGTAGGCAAAGTGACAGAATAGATAGTAGCAGGGCATTTAGGTATTTTCTGGGATTCTGGTCAGCCTGAGGAATATACAGTAGATTGCTTGTGACTTCCAGGAAGAGGGAGGTTGGGCACATTGTCAGTAGGGCACAGCTTTATTCTGTACTGGTGAATCCACCTAAGGGATCTTGCAAACAAAGAGCCATGGGAGTGCTAGAAGATGCAGAAAGGTTCCATCCACTAAGATTACAGATTGGGGTTTAAATCTTGAATCAAAATGAATTTGTTAGCCATGTTATCCACATAACGGTGTCAAGAGATGGCAGAAGTTAATTAGCAGCGTGTATTATTTCTTTTAGGGCTTTTTTTTAATTTTAAAGAGAATAAAAACAGTAAAATGAAACTTGCATTTTGCACCTGTCTAAAAATAGCACCATGTGGAAGATGCCAGGGTCTGTTGCCAGATACAGAATTAGCCAGGCTTTCTTTTCTCTTGGCTGTAGGGGTTGAGTACCTGGATTTCAGATCACTGTGAACTCAATCAGGAGATACAAATTCTCTAGGCTGCTGCTATTCTGGAACATGGTGCTTTAGAGCTCTCTTCTCAAAACAATCTTTTACCTTATAATTTTGAGGTTGCAAAAGGTAGAGTCCTGCTGGTTCTTGTAATTCTCCCAAGCCACTTTTTCTATTGTTCTGTTCCAAAATATATGACTTTTTATTACTAATCTTTTCAGCAACCAAGATCTCCTTTATTCCTTTACTGGGAATAACTTTGCTGGAACTTTCTTTCTGGCCAACTCAAAAATGTTTTGAATTGTTCTGCTG